AGCCCCACATGTAAACAGTTACCAGTTTATACAGCATATTTCTAAACTAAAGGGATTAAATATCAGACTGTTGCTTTCACAGCACAAGTGGCTCAGCAATTGCCACTGGAAAACAAATGTGCTGGTTAGCACAGCCTGGAACCCACAGGCTGCGGAGGGGGAGGCTGAGCAACCACCACCCTTTTGGGGAGTGTGACATTGAAGCTGAACAGGTATCAGCTAGGAATATGGAAAATGGGGACACTACAGGTTGCTTTCTTCTGCCTCCCCTCGCTCTTCCAGCAGTGCCTGTGCTCTAGGACTTTTCCCTGGTTCAGTAACTTGGTGTGTAGTTCCATGGACAGGTCCCTGCAGAGGAGAGAGCAGAAGTTTGGGGTGGTTTAGGTAATGTTTGCAGCCATGGTGTAGGCAGTCAGGCTAGATAGCCCCTCAAGGCCCCTTCCAGATTGGTTGAGCCACAAGTGTAGAAATGCATGACTGCAAGGGTTTGCCAGCACAGGGCCTGGACTGTGTGTGTGCAGACACGTGTAGCAGAGCCAGGGGTGCACATTCAGTAGCTTTTACCATGAATCTCTACAACCAACTCTACTTTCTATTTGAAAAGATAAAGGAAAGTTTTCTTCAAATACCCCAGTTCCTTATTGCAATGAGAGAGCGGGAAACAAAGCTGTTTCTTTTGCATAAATATTGTCTCTTTTAGCAACAGAATGTAAGAAATTTGTCCAGAGTCTGGTCCTTGCTGTGAAAATATATTCCTGTGCTAGTCTAAGGGACTACACCGAGCAGGAGTGATTTACAAAGCTTTATACAAGTGACACTTAATGGTCTTGCCAAGAGAGCAACCGGTGCTTTCTGCTTTGTCAGTGCATCAGGAGTGCATGTGGACCTCAAGTCATGGGGCTGCCCTTACTTATGACTGCGGCTGTAGAAACAGGATGGGGCCATCTTTGCCCCTTGGGCTGCGCATCCTTATGGAGAGCACACGATTTGGCATGAAAGGGTGTGAAGATGCAGTCCCTGCTGCTGATCTCATGTGCCTGCTGCCTTGTCACTTTGGCACATTGCACCGATTCCCTGGGGAATATAGGGCAGGGAGCAGCCGAAGGCTGAGTAGCCCAGCTGTAGGAAAGACGATGGTGTGCACACAGCGTATGGCGCTCCCTCTTTTTCACCATTCCTCTGAAATATGCTGCACTTCAGGAGAAGCACAAGCCAGAGATAAAGATTCGCTTCGCTTCAGCTCCAGACCATGCAGGTTTACAGGCTGGTTCGGGTTGCTTCTTCAGTGGCTCTCCAGCTCCAGGAATAGTCCCAGCATGACTGGCTCCCAGTCCATGCTGCTCTCGGCCACCCCAGAGCACAGAGGAACATGGAAGAGGGCTGTCCTCCCCACGAGATAGGGCTGCTAGCCGCACAGCTGGTGAAATACTGCCACTTGGCTGCATACTCCCCCCATCTACCCCCAAGTCTCCCAAAACCAAACTGGAAAATCCCACACAAAACATTCCTGATACAGAGCAGGTCCCGGGGCTGCCAAATGGAGAGTTTGTAAGATCACCTGTGAGTCTCAGAGTAAGTGGGATGCCTTGCAGCCAGCACCTTTGCTAAACCGAGAGACCCTGATTTTGAAGAGGAGAGGTATCACCCTGTGGGCAGGTACCATGTGTGTGAGCAGCAGATTCCCTCACAGGTAGGGCAGTGGCTGACCAGCACGGTCCCTGGGATTGCCCTCCTGCCCGCCGGCAGGAAGAGCTGCTGCTTCATCCTTTTCTTTCTGGGATTGGCCGGACTTACTGCTCGGGTATTTGGGCTGTGCCTCTGTCCATGGAGAGGTATTACACTTTTTCACCTCCCAAGTTCACAAGTGAGCGCTCAGAAAAATACTGTGAGCAAGAAGCCAGTACAGCACACATGCTAAGGCTTAACGTGAAGGGAAAAATATTAAAATATTTTAGCTGGTTTTTTTGTGTTGTAATACATAATAATAATATATTATTATTATTATAGGACCAGGAAAGTTGGATTAGATAGAGAAAAACTAACAGTGTGACAACACTACCCCACAGTCACAGGTTTCAACAAAACTTGGCCACAGAGCCAGCATGAATGAGGAAACTGCACTGACTCTCCAGACTGTTCTTCGGGCAGTTTTAGCTACTAACTCACCAGGATAGCAGCAGAAGGAGGAGTTACTCACAATTAGCTCTTCTTCCAGGTGCTCGTCTTACTCCACTGATCAAATCACAGGAAAACAACATAGAATCAGCATTAACCTTACAGGGCATATAAATACGAGACCAGAGAAGGGAGAACCAACCTGGCATTTCAAGCACTGCACCCCAACCTCCTTTGTCCCCATCAAAGATCAATTCACACATTCAGTTTCAGGAGGAAGGTTAAAAGTGTTCATCTACCCATGGCAGCATCTCGGGCTTGTGTGATCAACCCCATGCTGTTGCCCTGTGAGAGGCAAAGGAGACCATGTGTCCCCAGAGCCAGTACTACCTGGCTGAGCACGATCCTCAGCCTGTGCCCAAAAGGGATTTCCCTGCAGCAGCAGCTGTCAGCTCCCAGCATCAGACTGGGAGAGTGCATCAGGTGAACAGGGGCCTCGCATGTTTGCGCGGTGACTTGGGTGTACAGGCTGCTTTCTCCTACTTCTGGGCAGCAATGACATATTATTGCAAACCTACTTTAGTTTCCACACAAGGGGAGGTGGAAAGCAGACACTTTGGAGAATATTATTTGAGCTATTTCTCCTCATCTGCTATTTGATCCAAAAGGGAAATTTAGACTGAGAGTTAGTAGCAGAGACTGGCCAAATTGTTATTCCTGCCGCTCCAGCCAAGCAGGGTTAATGCTGCCCTGTGGGGAGCATGTCTCGGCCAGCCAAAGCCTCTATCCCAGAGGGCTCTGCAGCATTCAGACTCCACTGCACCAGCCTGCCACTGCCCCCCTCCCACAAAAGCACCATGGGCTTTCAGAGAAGCTCAGAATCGGCTTTCACCAGTCGTGCACATGGGTCCACAATTCCTGCTCAGTGTTTGGGACACTGGTGGGATGGCGGCAGACAGAAACAAGCTCTCCCAAACTGTTAAAGATTAGTTTTGTTTTTTCTTCCCCTACCTACCCTCCATTTTCCCTCCTCTTCTGGCTGAAGCATACAGGCTGCAGATTTTTCGGACATAATGTTTTATTTGCTGTTTTGGCATACTAATGTATTCACGTTTCCAGACCATTTCACTGCTAACAAATCCTTACGTGTGTAGGAATGCTTGTGTAATCAAAGAGCAGTATTTTTAAGAGTCAGGATTGAGCAGTTTAAAACCATAGGAGATAAGAATCATGGCTCAAGGCCTGGAAGCTGCGAGATCGACAGAGAATGCAGAATGCCATGTTCAAGGTACTGCCGTTTTCACATACAGAGTCCCTGTACCAAATACTTTGCCTTTGAATTCACCCTAGACATTAAGCGTGTTCTTGGGGGTCTATTTGAAACAAGCAAATAACACTAGATAACCCAAGCAAACAAAGAAAGTACCCCCCTCCCTATACCCAGACAAAACCTGTTTCAGTTGTATTTCCCATGCAGGGCTGTAAAAACAGTTCAAGAAGATTTTAATGGCCCTTTCCAATTTCCAACCATAAATGGCATCCCCACAGTGGAGAGGGAAGGTAGCAGAAAATTAAAGCATAACTCACGGTTCTGTCTGAGGCCTTACACTGACTTGCTTTCTCTTGTCAGCTTCACATTTCAGGAAAGCATTTTGATAAATAACAAGTATATTGAGGACAATAACAGTATTTTATTTTCTGCAAAACCTCGAAGTTTTCCTAGGCAATGTTAGGAGCAAAGCACTTAAGTAGGAAGTTGGGTTCTGTGTCCCAGTTCCTGAAACTGAGACACAAGATATCAAATTGTGTAAAAATTACAGTAACTCCGAGAGCTGACAACACTGAATTATGTTTCACTGCCTGCAGGTCCCTGTGCCGGCTTGTCTTGTCTTTTAGCTTAAAGGCTTTAAGGGTGGGTGGATGTTGCCCTTCAGCAGCACTTGGAGGACTGATGATGTTTTCAAAAAAACAAAAGCAAATGATACTACCCTGCCAGAGGGAAAAACAAGGTCAATCATGCTATGCAAATCAGCTCTCTGTTGGAGAGAAAAATCAAAACAGAGGAACCTGCTACCCCCACGGTACAGATTGAACATGAATAAACAAAACTTAATTCCTGCTTGATTTTATCACCAGAGAGGGTGAAACAGGAAAATAGATGGGTGCAGAAACACTTAGATGAATACAGCAGTGACTTTGGAATCCTCTCAGTGCTTGAAAAATAAACTTGTCGCTATAAAGCTCTGCATTTTCAAACTAAGAGTGTCCCCCGTGCAGAAGACATAGCTGAGGACCTCTGAGGAACTATCAGACATCTAAACATCTTTTTCCTGGAGGCTAGGTAAGAAGTATCCTGGCTCTGAATACTGGTGCTACCCTTTTCTTGGGTTATTCCATTTCAGTTCTTGACAGAAACCAGTTAACAGAAATGCCAAATGCCTGAAAAACATTTCAAACAATAGCAAATTTTTACTCGATTACTCTATTCAGTGTCCTAATTAGCTGAATGAAAAAGATTTTGATTCCGGTGCTTACTGAAAGAATGGACACGATGCCATATCATTTTCAGTTCAAGTTTTACTCCCAATTGCACAAAGGTTGAAAAGATTTTTTCAAACTTTGAAAACCAGCATAATAATTTTGGTTTCATGTGTAAAACAGGGCAACCCAAAGGATACAGGAGTTGTGTGACCAACGTTCCAACGTTCGGCATTAGTGTTGAACAACCTAATTTTATCTTACACACTGATTATTTTCTACATTATCTGCTTCTCAAATTATAACTCTGTACAACACCCACAGATATCTAAGGTTAAAATATTTTGATAAAATACCACATTATGGAAGGTTCCAATGACTTAGTACAGATTACAGTACAAAATAATGACAAGTCAGAGCATCGCTAAGAGTTTATTTAGAAGCTTTTACTTTCGGTTCTTATATCACAAAAGACATGTTTGAAGTTTACAACAAGTATTAGAAACTGAGATGTTTTTATTTCTACTATTATAAAAGTAACATAGGAGACCATTCTAAGCCATCTTCAAAATGCAGACCAATCTTTTTTTTGTATATAAACTGTACACAAAAAACAAGGCACTATACATTTTTGGATAATAAAGTATAAAGGTTGATTCGCATAGTTTCTCAAGAAATCCATGCTATAAATACAAACGCTTTGTTCAGTTTAGCACCTGAAGCAGCACTGAGAACAATTCATTAACTATTGCAAAGAGAAACTTTTCAGGATGCGTAGGAGATACATATTGGTGATACAGCTAATTCAGTACAAGCAACTGCCATCCAGCTACTCTTCTGTAGTTTTGACATGAAAGTCTTGAAAGTGAATATATATTGCATTGTTAAATACATACTTGTTCTATGTGTTTATATAAATATAAATTCTTTGTAATCCACAAACTAACAAAATAACACTTTACAAAGAGAACTTCTTCAAAAACAAAAATGGCAAGTATTGTATATAGCCAAAGGACACCTGTAGCAGTAGCTCAAGAAGCTACTGTTTAAGTGCATAGGAGAGCAGAGCTTAAACACGTTACCTTTAAGAGTCAAAATTGAATTCCATTTCCAAAGAGTTCTCTTGGCCTTTTATAATATTACACACCTCCAGATAGGTAGTCACTAATAACTTCAGATTCTTTCTATTTATTCTGTAAATGTGGGGTACAATTCTTCTAAAGGGCATAGAAAGTGAAAACAGACATCCCTTTAGTGCTCACTCCAATAAATGCAACTTAGAAAAGTCCTTTTGCCTTCTTCAGATTAACCTGCTTCCAAGATGGCAGTGCATTGTACTCTTCTCTCGTCATCTCTAATGCAATCTGCATTTAAAACGAGAGGATATGCCATTAGTAAAAACACTTATAAGTAGCAAAACTGTCAAATGACTTCTCAGCATGGTTAGACACACGTGCACAGAGTAACACTGCACCTAGTCTCTCCTTACCTCAAAGTCCTCATCTGAAAGATAAATTTCAAGCTTCAGCGGATCAACTCCCTCAGGTAGAGGCCTAGCTAAGAGATCTGCTAGTGGATACACTGTTTTACACAGCTTGGCCAGCACGTCCTCTACAAGGATTATCTGATTAGAAACATCAGCATCCTGCAGGGAGAAAACAGAGAACAGGATCACAATGCTGAAACCACCAACTGCTCCCATTGCAGTCTGCAGATGGCATGGGATCAACCTGCGCTGCCTGGCCCATGGAGCACAAAGCTTTAAATCCAGGTCCGCACATAGGCAAAGAGCCCTGCCCTACAACAATTTCACAGTTAAAAAAAGGTCTGCGCTTAGCAGAAAGACATCCTGTACTCTCAGAATCTCAGTTTAAGGCTGAATTCTGTGTTTAGTCATGAAGCCAGCATTTTCCACTAAGGATGGCTGCAGAAGACTTACAAAGCAGAAAATGTCATTTGCCTTGAGATGCCCCTTCACTGAAGGCTTTTAAAGCAGTCACACGTAATTCGGCTGTGACTCCGCTTCCCAGGTGAGGAAGTCAATGCTGGAACTTTTGGAGCCAGCTGATCCTTTGTGGGGCATTTTGCTTCCCTGCACTTTGAGCCTGGAGGACAGACCAGAACTGCACGTTGCTGCCTGTTTCACGATTGAAACAGTTGTTCTGCTAAACTCTAGCACATCTCTTTCTAAGAGATGATTCAGATAACACTTTCCTCCTGTTTTTAACAAAAAAGAATATGAGAAGTTACATGAAAAAACAACCAGGAATGCCTCAGATATCCACACTCCCAGTCAGAATTTAGCTATGTTGTTATTTTTTTCCTGTGCAGACTCCTGAACTGTAATTTGTAAGTTCATCCTCTAGATTTTGGGGCTTGACAGCACAAACAAGCAATGTTACTGACAACACAAGACACAATTACTAGCAACAGGAGACAGTCTGTGCAATGAAAAGATTTACCATTTCTGTGATCTCTGCGATGTCTTCCCTGTGTTCCCAACTTGGGAACATATTAGTGAAGGTCAGAGGCTCTAGGCCAGCATGAATTAGATAGGATTTTGGGGGCTTCTTTACATTTTTTCCTAAAACCAGTCAAAATACAAAAAAAAAGAAATTACAAACGGTACCATATTTTGCAATGTCAGCCATTATCCAAAGCTACCTTGTAAGCATGTTTAACTGATTCTTTCCTGAAAAGCTGAAGTAATTTAAGGCAGTAGGAATAAATTTCACCAGGATTTTTTTTAATGTAGCATGGCATCTTTTAACATGTTCTTCAGTATTCTTAAATCTGCCTTTTACTGTATCTGACCACAAAGATCAAACCATGTATGCTGAAAATCCCCCACAGTTACTTCCTAACCCAATGTATTTCTTATCTTACAAAAATAGAGTTAGACTAGAGTAAGCAGAGTGTGATGGTCTGAAATTAGCCAAATTCACGTAAATGAAACCTTCTGGTATGCTCAGCACAAGTATCCTACCAGCAGCAAATAAAGCTTAAGCTTCGAGGCTTAAGTGAGAATGTTTAAACTGTTCTTAACTTGGGATACTGAGGTCTAACACAATCATTTTGTTATTACAAATTCAAAGGAATAGGATCTGAAAGTTAACAGAGGTATTGCAATAGCTGGATGGTAATTACTGGTGATTTTCAAAGACAGTCTTGCTTCTTTAAAACATGTATGTGTGCACACTATATAGGACATGGACATAACCCTGCCTAGGAGTGATGCTGTATCAGATTAAGTGGTTAAAGTCATTATGCCAAGTACTGGAGAAAAAAGGCCCTATTGGTTGAATAATTTCATTCCCCAAGGACTCACAAGCACTGATAAACTCCAAATATTATTGGAAAGAGGTAGACAGGCAGTCAGGGACTGGAAGGAGGTATCATTCAAAAAAACATTGTACCTTCATCTTACTTGGATTCAAACAACTTAGTCTAACCAAATCTTTCTTCCAGATAGGCAATGGAAAAGCTGAAAATGTTGCAAAGTCCAGAATCAGGTGAAACCAACAGAGCAACATGACACCACCTCACTTCTGAGGGCTGTAGCTTCCCTAAAAACTGCTTCCTGCAAAATTCTGTTATTCCCTACATTCAATCTCAGAGCATCTTTAACGCACTAAGATTTCTTCCAGAGCATATAAATCCATTACGGAAGACCCTGTTTTTTTACTGTAGTCCCTACCTGCACTTGATGCGTGTGGGCTGTCAGGCAGGGGGGTCTAAAAGAACACAGCCCCCTCCTCCCCATTGCTGAGGAGCACCCCAGGGAACTGATGCAACACCTGTGCTGAATGCAAACGGAGAGCCTGGCTGGACATCATTGTTCCATTAGGTTTGCAAAACCTGAACGTTACAGGTTTGGCTTTACATCAGATGTTGGGAGCAAACTGATTAGAGGGAGTATGTTCACATGAAACTCTGCATACTAGAGATAAAAAGTTCTGTGGAGTAGTCTAACAAACGTATTATAATGTGAGTGCTTTAAGTATACAATTTAGACAGGAGATTTATCATTTGAATACTTGATTTTAAGCCTTCTCTTCCACATATTTTCGCTGTGGTTTATTTGTTCATTCTACCATGAACAATTCAACAAGCACTTAAAAATTTGCATTTAAAAAATGTGTGAATCTGCTCTAGTTGCACTGCTCCACTCTCAGTAATTCAGCCAAGAAATAAAAGGAGAGTGGCATTTGCTAATGTTCCAGTACAGGTAAGATGAATTTGTATGTAAGTGGAGAAACATTTTCATTGCATGAACTCTGCCCTCAGCACAAGCTGATCTCCTCACTAAGAATCATTGAAGGGCAAACAACATTCTTCCCTCTCCTAGCGGTCTGCAGCTCAGCTTTCCAGACTGCTGATTTAGCAGATAAAACCACAGAAAAACTTACAAGACATTTTGACAAGTTAAATAAGATTTATGCACAAGGAGAACTGCTAGGTATATTCAAGGGATATCCAGAGTTGCTAATCAATCTCTTTCATACCATCATGTAGTTAAACACTGCAAGGGGGGGGGGGGGGGGGGGGGGGGG